AAAACTTTTTGGTCTTTTTAAAATATAATAAATATCAGAGTTTTCACAAAAATGCAAATTATTAGCAAGAAAGTACTGACTTATAGCAATGAGAAGGATCGCTACAAAAATAAGCTAACAAATTTTTTTGCAGAAAGACAACCCAAAAATATGAATCATAAATTGTAACATTGCAAATGCATTGGATTATTGTACAGCACAAATTTATAATAATTTTTGCACAAAATATATTTTTCTCTTTTTTAATTGAATTCTGTTCTAATATTTTCTGTGATATGCCTCTTCATTTTGTGTTTGTTGCCAGAATACTAAAAAAAATAAAAACATTAAATTACATTTAACATAATTTCTGTAAATAAATAATTCACAAGAAAGTTTTGGCTACATTATAACTGCAAGAATAATCAGTAATAATATAATTTTAAGACTATTTTGAAAATGAATTTAAATAGAGCTGCAAGATAAGCATTTAGTATAATCAAACTAATTTTTTAATATTTAATTTGTGATAGCAACATATTCTTTGCTTCCGTTAAAAACAAATAAAGAACTATTTGCATTAAAATACTTGTTCTAAATTTGGATAAGTAATTGACAAAAGGCACTAATAGTTTGAAAATTTAAATATTCTCGAGCACCATAAAGACATATTCGTCTTGCAATTAATGCTTTTATGCAAATTATGTTAAATTTTTTTGGCACATTTTGTTAGTTAGAAGTTATATAAATACTCAAAAATAATTTAATCAGATGAATTTTATTATTTCACCAGATGTAAAATTTGTAAAAGCTTCCCATTAAAAACAACTAAACAAGTTGCTCGCATTTAAGTATATTTATTTATTTGAGTTTATTTTTAAAATTATTTACGATGCTTTAAGAAGAAGCATTGATGATAATAACATAAAGATGCTATGGAATTGAATCAGTCCACAGAAAATTTTTAGAAAATGTAAAGGAATTATAATACTTAAACCGATCAATTTTTAGCGAAAAATTGCTGAAAGTATAAAATTAGTTGAGTAATTAATAAATTATTCATAAAATAAACAATCAAAAATATAATAAATAACTTTTCAGTGATCAAACATTTTTGTTTTCGTTTTTGTTTTTGTTTTTGTTTTGTTTTGTTTTGTTTTGTTTTGTTTAAATAAAGTTGACTGCTCATTTTTGTAAACAAATTTTATTCTTAATCTTTTTGATAAGAAAAAGTAAATTATATATTTGCTCGAAAACAAAGAATGATAGCTGAGAAATTCGAGACTAAATGAAAACAAAGCAAATTTGAAATGCTCACTCAGAACATTTTAGCTAATAACATGCAACTTTAATTAGAATATATCAAATTCTATTATTAATTACAACAAAAATAAATTGAAATACTATGTTTGTAAATGATTACTTATTTTGAAGTTTATTACTTAGTTATAAAATGCTAATAAATTCAATGCATCCGATCTTCTTCTTTCACTTCCATCTTATTACTTTCATTCGAGTTAAGTTTTTGAGTACAGTTATACTTCCATATACAGTTTGTCTGAACTGGAATAATATGAAGTTGAAAAAGTACCCAAAATTCTTCAAATCCATTTCCAAAGAGTCAGTTTTCCATTTTTATCTCTTATCATTCAGTTTATTCCTTCTTGATAATTCTTTTTTTGTATTCAGCAATGTTTGAATGAAAAGAATTTTTAAAAACAAAAATCACAACATAATTTCAGTAAAATTTGAAATGTTTAAGCTGTGTTTGTTAAAAAAGTTTGCAAAAATTTTTTACTAAATATTTTAGATTTTAATTTAATTTGAATCCATTTTGTACTACTCAATTTTACAAAAAATGTTGTCATTTAACGAAGAAATAAAATACCGCAATAAGCTACACTTTAAAGTAGTACCCAATCGGTAAAAAGAAATAAAAATTTCATTACAGATTTTTACGACTTTCAAACAAGTTTCCATTTTTGCAGTCTAAAAAATGCGTAAAATAAATTTCAAAGTAAAAAAGTACGTATAAAAAGTATTCGTTTGCATAAAATTCAAATTATTCAGTTAATAATTTTCATTATTAGTTAAATGTTTGATATGAAAATGAGTACAATTAGATTTATTAACAAGTTTCACATTTCATTTAAAGTCACTTTTCTAAACAAAATAAGTAAAGCAATTAAATACATTTAGCATTATTAAAATATAGTTGCTAAGAAATCATATTCAACATTAAAGTATAATTAGGAAAGTTATGTAAATATTTTTCTTATTTGGGAAGGAAAAAAGTATTTTTAAACATATAGCAAAAGAGATAGATAGATAGATAGATAGATAGATAGACAGACAAACAGATAGGTAGATAGGTAGATAGATAGATCTATTAAATATTTAAACATTTTTGATGCACACAATAGGTATATGAATGAAATATGACTGAATACTGACCAAAAATGTTTCATATGCATAATTCGTTTATTATTAATATGCATATTCCAAAAAAGCAAACTGATAAAATTGTGTTTTTCAAATTTATTTCACTTGCATTTGGTATCAGAAGGAAATAACGATAAAAAATTTATTGATAAAAGCAATTAATAAGAAATGCTTCTCACAATTATAACTTTCGGAAGTTTGAAAAAAATTTTTATCAATCCCAAAAATTATTCAGATTTTAGCTTCTTCTGGCATTAATAGCTAGTAGTCTAGAGATTTATTTATCTAGGCTAAAAAATAAGTCTCAAAGTACTCTCAGCATTAAATTGGATTTAAAGTAACATTAAAAATTTGAAAAATATTTCAAAATTCAATTCTTCAAATAACAAGTAAGACTGAAGTATAAAATCATGAGTAGGTAAGTATAGAATTGACAAGTTTGAAGTGCACTTGAATCTTTGTTAAATACATTTGGTCAGAACTAGAATAATTAAAGCAATAATTGCGTACTTAAATTTCATTTCATATTGAACGATACGCAAACAATTTTACTTAATAATTTTGTGAGTATTGTAAGAGTAAAAAAATAAAAAACAAGAAAGAAGTAAATTACTTAACTAATTTAAAACTGGATAAAAACAAGTATACTTTTTTTGTAATACAAGTGTAACTAGTCTTAAGTTCCGCAACACAAATCAACACTTGGTTTGATTTTGTTATTTAGTATAATGCTAATGACCGAGACTGAATTTTGCATTCAATTTATGAATTATAGAAGGATATAAATATAAGTCGCAGTGAAAAATATACCCTAAACATGATCATAATTAGCTGAAAAATTTGTATTACATTAATATTAATACTAAAAATTTTGACAGAAAAAATCAAATGTAACGATAATTTTCTTTTCGTTTCAGTACAGAAAGTAAAATTACGGATATCAAAAAATTAAGAATGTTAGAAAATTAAGGATATTAGACTTAAAATGTTTAAATAATGCAAAAAACAGTAAATATTCACTTTAAATCAGTGTGTTTTGTATACAATAATTTATCCTTTTTTACTTTACAAATGCAGTGAAAAAATTATTTATATGCACAAGTAATAGAGGAAATTTCCAACAATAAACTCTACTGATATTTTCTTAAGTTTTACTTTAATATTTTTTCAAGAATATTCACAATGATATATATATGTACTGCTTTTGATTTTTACTGATAAATTCTTTACAAATTACATATTAGCATAAACAAAAATATTTTTTCTACATATAAAATCAAATAAAAAAGCAACCTGAAGTTTTATGCATATGACTTTATAGTAAAGATTAATGTGATTCACCTTAATACAAAGCATTTATCCAATATCGCAAATACCGTCTAAAAGTAAATAGACAGCCACGAAATTTAATTTCAGCAAGAAAATAATCAAAGTTTGGCACTTAATTTTATAAATCATTTTTTTTCCAATTGCCAGTACTTTAAATACGATATGAATATGAACATTTTTGAATTTTAATGCAATCGACAACTTGCAAAAATTTTTCAATCTAACAATTGAGATAAATTTTAAAATCCTGGTTTTCAAGCACTGAAGTAGCTGATGATTACAGATAATTAACCATAATTTGAGTGCTTTTGTGACTTACAGTTTCTTGCCATTTCAAGTAAATAAGGTCATTAGCTTAACGCTTGAGATTAATAATAAAGTACAAGACTAAGCATTGATTTGGTAGATAATTATGTCACTTATTTTATCTCATGTATTTTAGAGAAAGCATTAACTTGCAGTTTGCTTTCAAATGATACCCAAAAAAACAGATTCTGACGGTCAAAATCGTATATATAAAAGCTGAAAGGTAAGCAGCAACTGCTTTAGAAATGAATGAATCTGCGAATTAAGTATAGTTAGTAATTACTGTAAGGAATAAGTAAAGAAACTATGTCAAATCTTATCAATTTTGACTTTGAATTTTTTCAAATTAAAAAAAACTCACTTTTTTACTTTTTTTACTTTTAATTTCATATTTTCACTTATGACTTATTCAGTGAGAAAAGAATTCAAATTATAGCAGTGAAAAATTTCAGCACAACAGCAATGAAATGATAATCATTTTGAATATCAAATTTTTGATAAGCTTTTTTTCAAATATATTTTATAAAATTTTTCAAAACTTTTGAAGAAATGCTTTTTCTCATTTAGTAAAATATATGTCATTGTTGTAAACTTTTAACCAAATTAAAATTTTTGAATTTTTTCCTCAAAAAAACTAAGTTTGGTTCAAGTGTAGATAATATGCATCAAAGGTTATTTTTTTACTGATGTAAAGTAAACTAAAATCACTTTATGGCATATTTTTGTATGAAGAAGTTCTTTCGTATAATGAACAAATTATACGTTGTATACGTTTACAGCTGTAATTTTTATTCAAAATACATAAACAATTTGAACTAAACTTTTGAAAAAGAATTTTAATTTATTAAATTAATAAATAAATACTCTTTTTTTTAATATACCAAATGTTTAAGATATTTTTGGTGCAAAACAAACTTTCAATTACACAAATAAATGTTATCTACTCAATTATCACTTAATTTATTTTTCGCTTTCCGAATGCGTCCTTTGTACTGTTCATTGAAGTCTTCTAAATAGTCCACCAAAAAAAGCTCTTGACTTGCTTTCTGCAACATAGTTGAAAACAAATATTTCTCAAAATTTGAACAAACTTTGATATAAATATTGAGTAAATTGTGTTTTAATTCTAGATTATACGAGTACATTTTATTTCTATCATATCATATCACATCACATCATATCACAACAAATATTATAATACTTTTTAAAAGTAATCGATAAAATTTTATTTAAATGGAATCTAAAGACAAAATGATGCACTACCATTTTGTACCATAAATTGTTTTAAAAAGTATTTCTGATCATAAAAAATTTGTATTATAACAGTTCAATAATTTCCGTTATTCTTAATCAAATTAATATATTATTCGATCTAAAATGAAATAAAAACAAACGCTTTGCATCCATTGGCTTTGTAGGCAATCTGTCGCTGATAATCGACTTCTGAATATTTTGCTTTGATTAAATTATAAGTTAATGTTGCCTTATGACTGATTGCTTGAGAAAAAAATAGATATGAAATGGAAATTATAAAAGTTATTCGACTGCAAAAATAAAAAAACATAAAATTTGAAAGAATTAAAAATAAAGTTTGAAATATAAATTAGTTAAAATATTACTGCCGGTTATGCTAAAGTTCAAAAATATTGGCATATATATTCAAATAAATTAATTTTGTTTAGTTTATTTCAAAACAAAGTGATACGCTGTATTTAGGAATCTTTGTCAACAGAATGAATTTTAAGAAAAATTAAAAGTCGTTTGAATTATTAAGTAATTTAAAAATGAATAACAACTATGAATAGTTCATTTACTGCATTTTGAATTTTCATTTCTTTTTCTACTTTGTTCTTTGAAATTTATCAGTAAAAATTAAAATCAGTGAGAACCTTGCATTATCAGTGATAACAGATTTTAACAAAGAAATGATATCCAATGAATATATCTGATAATTTTGTTTCTCACTGGTAAGCGGTGTATTTGATAGAATTTTTAATCGCATCATTTCTTCGCAGTCATCTTCAAATGGCGTATGTCCAGCAATTAGCGTATGCAAAAGAATACCAAAACTCCTCCAAATAATAAATCTAATTTAAAATTACATAATTTTGTCAAATATAATTTAAATTACTCATACTATTACTAATAATTAATGCCACAATATAACCGTAGCAGAATTTTTGTAATTAGAAACTATGACAGAGTCAACTGAATTTCAATTAATCTAGAAAATCTTCATGCATGAATTAGCTAATGACCAAACTAGTGACCAAAATTTAATCTGTATTGAAAAAAATTGATCTGTATGTTATCACCAAATGTCAGCTTTTGTTGTAATTTCTCGATGTGAGATATATTCTGGTGAAGAGAATTCTATTGTGTCATCGTTACAAACAACTGCTTTTGTAGTATCATAACAAGCTGATCGGAAATCAATGAGCACAAGTCGTACTTCATTACTAATATGAGTAAGTAAGTTTTCTGGCTAAAAAATTAATCAAAATTAAAAATATTTAATAGAAAATCTTGCAGTATTGAAATAAACTAAATTTTGAAATAATTATTCGAGACTTTACTGATTACCTCAAATTTCTGATGATGTTTTTTACATTTAATCTGACAAAATAGTTATGGATACTAAAGGAAAATAACTATCGCTCTGGCAAAAAACGAAAAATAGCATATTTAATAGCAGTATGAAAGAACTCAACTTAATTGCGAGGTGAACAATCATATAAGAGTGAATATATTCTAAAGCCCGCAATAGATCTTTACAAAATCGCTGTATGAGAGCTTCGGATATATATCCAAGTTCTACAATGTAATCCAACAAATGCGGACCATTTAGCCTAGTAAAATAAACATTTCCAAACCTAATATTTTTGATTTTATTCTTCATTTCATATCTATTCTTCATTTGAAACACACTAACTAAATTTTAAACTATGTAATTAACATGAATGACATAAATAATAATTCAAATTAAGCTCGAAAGTTTTTTTTTTTAATTAAAATAAATAAATTAAGTTTTGAAATTCATAGGTTGTGCTCCTGAATAATATTAATAACAAGTTTCTAATGAAGTATTGGAATAGAAATGCAGAAATTTTCTAGCATTTATAATTTGAAAAAATTAATATCCAAAATGAGTTACCACTGCATGATAATTACTGCGTGATCTGCGATTTTAAAAGATTCGTGGAAAGTAGGAAAACTATAATGTTGAATACAGCGCATTAAACAAATTTCACGTTCAATATTTTTTTCATTGTCGTATTTTAGCGTAGAATCATTACAGAATATTTTCGCTGCATACTTTTTGCCATCATTTTTATTCACAACTTCTAAGATATTAGCAAATCGTCCTTTACTTTTTATTTGAGAAATAGTATAAGTTTGTTGAAATTTTGATCTATCCATATACTTTTCCTGTTAAATTTTATTCTTTAACAATTCTTGTCTCAAAGCTTATAAAAATAATTTGTAACTAAAAATAATTCTATAGTTTGAAAAAAATACTTTTCTAGTGCCTGAAATTATTTGCAGTAGAAAAATTAGCTACTGAATTTATGAAGAATCAAGGACTAAAGTTGAGAATTCAGATGAACCTTGTTATTCTGATCAGCAATGAAAGATAATAGTGACAAGGATTGTGATATGGTCGAATTCAACAAAACGTTTATTGGTGATGCTGGCTTTCCTTTGAAAAATTCATTAAAAGCATAAAGACGAAATGAGTAGAAGCCAGGATTAAGATCAGTGATAACCGCTGATGTACCTGTGATACCTTTTATGGCTACTTTGTAATCATCCCTTTCTATAAATAATTGTTGTCATTACTAGTATTATTAATTAAAAAGTAGAATTTGAAAATGATAATTTTTTAACAAATATCATAAAAGGTTACAAGTGACCTGTTAGCAATTAAAAAAATTTACATATTTTTGCACAGTTGTTAGAAAAAATAAAAACATTAAAGTAAAAATTTGAGAATAATTTTGAAAAGACTTTGAAGACAGTAGAAAATATGAAAATTATTAAACTGCTTCATAATTGCCAAAATTGGTAATTAAATCATTTTTTAGGTAGAAACGAATAATGCATGCATGAATTCCTTCTAATTATTGCAATACTTTTAAGAAAACAAAAATTATATTCTTCGCACTCAAAATATTATAATCAAATTTTCATGCAAAAAATTCGTCATTTATTTATCAGTGCAAATTATGACAGAATTGAAGCTAAAGAAATTAAAAAGTATACTAATTATCTTTTAATATTTCAAGTCAAAAGCAAAAAGATTTATTAAAGTCAATTTCACAGCTTTCATTTCTAACAGTCAATCAGTGGGAATGCATTTAACTTGTCTTCTCAGATTCTTCGTCAATTATGCAAAGTTTAAAAATTTTTGCATGTAATTTGCTATTCAATATTAAAATAAGATAAATATTACATTTATTACTTTGAATAACAACGAGTAATTAACAATATCATACCTCTTTGTTTATATTCCACAACATAGTAAATCTCTTTTGAATTACCCATGTTAGGCTCATTCCACTGTAGCCAAACACTTTTTTGATTTATTATCTTGTGCGCAGTAAAATCAGGTTTTCCAGGTGCAGTTATTACAGTAACCCAAGATACAGTATGACATTTTCCAAAAATATTTTCAGCTTCTGCCCAGTACTGACCAGTATCGTCTTTTAAGCAATTTTTCCATGATAATATAGAATAGCCATCTACATTCGTCTATAATATATGAAATGTTTGTAACAAACTGGGATCAAAATTTTTCAGCAACCATTAACTTTTTAAAATAATTAAATTAATCTATATCCCGGAAAAAATTATCAATTGAAGTATTTAAAACAAAATTTATGACAAAAATTTTTTTATTGAAGTCAATGAGTTATTTATGCATCATATTTATATTTTTATTCAATTGCTTGTGTGAATTTCTAATTTACTCAATATGGTTTGATAAAAATAAAAAAGCAAAAACAGTCTGTAATTATTCTGATATAAATAAAAAAGTGAGTAGTACAAATAATTTCAGATTAAAGCCTGCTCATTTTAACTTATAAACTAAACTGAGAATTGAAACTTATTAAACTTCGTATAATTTAAAACCACGCATACCAAAAAAAATTCATACAAATATTTCAAATTATCAACATGAAATAAATTTTAGTGTATAAAAAAGTATCGAATATATATGCAAAAAATTGGAATGCAATTTCTGCTTAAGTTAGATTAAAACTAACACTAATATTATAATTCCGTTTAGCTGCAATTACAGGACCACGCCATACGATAGTATGAGGCTCTTCTGAGAAAAATTTGCATGCCAATACGATATTTTCTCCTAATTTCACCTTTAAATCTTGCAAAGATTCTATACAGACTGGTCGTTTATGTATATTTAAAAAGATTGAAGAATATAACTTCTTATCAACCGGTAGAAATGAGACAATTTTTGATAAGTGTGAAATATTATTCAATAAATTGGTTGGATTATCCTCATACAGTACTGATTCATTTTGATCAACCAAATGGTACCATCTTCGACGATATCTGAACATCAATAATATAAATTAGTTATTAATTAGGGCTGAGTTGAATGGAATTTGTCAAAACAGTGATTAGTCCCTGTCAGTATCAGAGCAATTCAATTCAAATTTTTGCATAAAAATATTACTATTATAATAAAGTGAAACAAGTGTTACTTTGAATCAACTTTCAAAAAAGGGTTGATTTCCTGCTCGAAAGTGATTAATTACGTAAGGACTGAATCTGTGACTGTTCATTAATAGCATATTAATTAATAAATTGTATGTGATTTCAAGTTTGGACAGTTATAAAATTATATCCGCTATTAGAACAGATGTGATAGAAAAAAGTTTCATTTTTAACAAACCTTATCTGTTGAGCAAAATTTTGGCCAGGAATATCATTTAAATCAAGAAAATATGTTGGAATATAACCTTTGTTGCCATCTGACATTTCAACTTGCGCATATCCACCATTGATATTCAAAATTTTCATCTAAGCTTAGCTTTAATTATACAAACTTTTCTTCACTTTCAGAAGAATGCTTCAATTAAATAATCATTTTTACTCTCTCTTAAGCTCAAAGCGAATTCAAAAAAAAGTGTTTGTTCTGAACATGCATATACTTTATGTTTAATGCTATCAATATATTTTAAAGTTGGATTAAAAAGAATAATACAAGTAGTAGAACAACAACCTTTTCACCCCGGTGACCACTGATTTGTTCCTTTTTTACTGCAATAAATGAACTATTCATAACAGCATGCAGTTCACACATCTTATCCTCATCTTGACAACTTGTCCTTAATACTTCCTAAAAAAACTAATTAATAATTACAAGAGTAATATTTAAAATTTTAATAAATCCTTGCTTACTGCCTGAAAATCAAATTTCAAGGTATATTGTAATGATTGTAAATAAAATTTAATCAAAGTACTAATCTTCTTGGTTGAATGTTTGCATAAAAAAATAAACTCACAAACAAAAATTGTAATTCAAAAATTATTTCATTCTTAATTGAAATCCAAATGCAAACTACTGATTTTAGAGAAGAAAAAAGCTTATTACTTGAATGATTTTTATTTTTAAAAATGCATTTCTGAATAATAACATATTTGTTGCATTCTCTTTAGTGTCAAAATTATTTTTACATTTTGGCAAATAATATGAACTTAATGCTACTTATTCCATTACTTTAATGAAAGCATGGAAGGTAAAGTAAATAATATGAAAATTTATGAGTGACGACTATAAGTATCATTCCTATATGAATAAATAATTTGCATAAGAAGTAGAAGAATCAAATTAAACAAACCTTAGCAGTCTGCTGATGCAACATATTTTTATGGGATTCAAAGCATTTTCAAGACTAATCCTTCCAGTTGTTCTCACATCTTATCTATTTTCTTTATTACTACACTTTAAGCACTTGAGAACAACTGTTGCACAACTTGGTCCCTTGATCCTATTTGCTTTTATCTCTAATTTGTTTTTGCAGATATAAATTTAATGATATTGCTTTGATCCTTATAATTTATTGTTTATATTACTCTCAAAATTTTTGATTTTAAAAATAATAAATCAATTTTAGTCATGTATTAAATCATTGCTAGAGAAATTATCATACAAAACATTGCATTGCAAACAAAGTTAATAATTATGGCAAATTTATTAACTGAAATTGCCAATACTTTTTTCTAACACAAACTAGTTAAAATGTGTGTGAAAATCTCAACTAACATTTTAATAATTCAAAAATCTGACTTTGCATTAATTTCAATAGCACTATTATATTATTTGTCGCCCCTTTTCTAGAATTTGCCACTGTTGTTGAGAATGATTCTATTAAAGGAAATTTTCAATTCTTGAGCTACGAGTCTCGAAAGTCCACCACCAATAAAGTAATTACTCTTTATTATGTCTATTGAAAATCACATCATGAATTTCCTTAAAAAGTAACTACAGAGGCACAAACTATTACGACACATCAATGCTGATGCTTTTTTTGTCATATGTGAACTTCAAGTTTCTTTTAAAGATTTTGCTATTGATGATGTGGAAAATGAAAATTGAGCAATAATTTTGCTGTGCACATTTTGAGACTACACTGTTCTCAATTCTAAAACAATGTAAATAATTAAGAAAATCCGGAAGACTTTATTATCACTTTTGCAATATGAGTAAAAAAAACACATTTTTACTATGTTTTGATGAAACAGTTCTAGTTTGCTTGCAATAATTTTATTCTTCAGTTTGTTAGTAAATCGTTCCTTATTCAATATTAAGACTACTTCAGTGTAATTAGCAAGCTAAATTGTTGTGTGCTAACAAAAACCACTCCAAAGCGCTGTTTATTATAAATGCAAACGTACAGAACTTGAAGAATACAATAACTGGAGAAAAACAGCGGAGATCAAAAAAGTTAAGCATGCTTTTGAGAACTACAGTCAATTTTTTCTCGATTTCCTCAAGCTTAACTTTCTTATATTGTTATTTTTTACTTTTTGTACAAGCAAAATTTGACTGGAATGATGTGAAAAGAAACGAAAGGAATTTTAACATTTTAAGCACAAAATATGCATTTGCCAAATATTCCTTTACCAAAAAAATCTTGTCTCTCAAAACTATCAGTAAAAAACGGAAATCGAAAAAAAGCACATGACACTTTTTGATAAAAAAAATAAAACAATCAATCAATTATCACTATCACATTAAACCAATCTGATAAATTGCTGAAATGATAAGAAGTATGATGAACGAAAGAAAAACCATTTTATAAAAACGGAAGATGAATGACAGATAATGGCGAAAACGTATATTAGTAATGTAAATTAAGTATTTACAATCTTCGTGTCTTTTTTTCAAAGCAGATTCTTGAATCAGTCAATTAAACAAGTAATAAACTATACACTGCAATACATTTGCATATAAAGAGAGAAAAGAAAATGAAAATATCGAATCCTTTCACTGCTCTTAATTGTAATCATTCTCATCTAAATCATAATACAAACCTGATTAGAGAGCTTAAAACTCATTTCGAGAAATATGAGTATTACACCTGCATGCAGTCACATTTTTAACATCATTGCCATGTACACTGATCAACTGATCACTCTTTAAATCCTCACACGTGAAAACATTTCCTTTAATTTCTACTATCAAAGAAGTATACAGTAATGCAAAAAAATGCAATAACATTGAAAAACTGTAAATGATCTCGAAGCTTTCTTACCTAATATCAACATAAAAGCTCAGTTATCGAGCATAAGAAAACAGTCAAGTGCACACACACACAAACATACACACATCCACAAAAATCTCACAAAGATAACTAACTCATATGATACATAAAAAACACCCTTTTCTCCAACCTTCCTTTCACTTCAAAGCAATTTCAATACAGTAATGAATAACTGTGAGTAAAAAGTAATATATCACAAAAACGGTGGAAGAAAAATAAATAACAATGATGAAAGGACAAAGAGTTAATAAAATGACAAGAATGATAAACGACGATAGAATTATGAAAAATTGCCAATTTATTAAAAAAACAGAAAGTATGACAACAAAAACGACGAAAATATACTTGGAATCTATCAAAATTCAATGAACAAAAATAGGGTATACAGCTGAGGATAATAAGAAACGATGGAGAAACAAGATGTTTGCATGAAAAGTCAGAAAAACACCGGTAAAATTATGAATGTAGTGGAAGCCCAAAACTTCCCCAGCAATTTCAGTTCTGGACACAGGGGAATAAAGGAAAAATATATGTTTTTACATTCTTGTACATACTAAACAACTAAGTAATTAGACTTTTTACTAGAGTAAAAATCTTCTAATCAAATAAAAGCAATACACATTCAATGAATTATTAATTAGAAATAAAATTATTCCAAAATAGACAAGAAGAAATAAATATTTGCAATTAAAATAATGCAAACATACTAATAAATAATAATGCCTATCAATGACCACTTAACTGCATTTAGTGAATAACATTAATGATTTAACATCACCAAATTGATAAAATATTTTTTGTAGAAAAGATTCCAAAATTCAATAATAAAAGTAAGAAGACTGATTAAATAAGATAATAGTGCAAGGTGAAACTTTCAATCATGCATTCCCATGTTTTGCATCAACGATGAAGAGGAAGCTTAACAGTGTGTTCGAAAAATTTTCTCATGCCATTAGGAACTATCTTTCCAACTCAATCTGAAACCTCTGGAGGACTGAGAGAAAAATGCTGAACTTGAAAATATCAGTTTAAGATGTAAACTTTACTATAACATAACATTTAACATGTCACAGAATGAACTTTCTCATTTCGATCGACAAATCTCTCATAATCCCCCGTTACCGATTCCCACAACAACATGCTCCTTTCAAAATGGCGCTTTCCTAAGTCAAAAGTCAACAAAACAAATGCAAGAAAGCAATTGCGAAAGTTTGCTACATGTATGTAGATGATGGAAAAGCAGATTATAGTTAAACAAATAATTATGCAATAAAGAAGATAAAATTTGAATAACACATTAAAGAGTCACCTTAATTTTGCTCAAATTCATCCACTCAGTTTATTGGTCACTTCAATTTACCTACAGGCATTGGTCCTCCTGATGTCGATTTGCTACTGTTAGATGGATTTGATTTCTTCCCAAAACCAAACAGTTTAGATGATTTTGTGGATGAATTATTCTTAGACGTAAATGTTGGAGCAGCGGGAATTTGATGCATTGAAGACGATGCAGAACATGTGGCAGAACTACCAGTTTCCTTATTTTTACCTGTTAATCGTGAAAACATCGGTTTTTTCTTGTCAGTTTCTTCTCTGAAATGATGCAAATTTCTGAACTGTTGATAATGATCAGTAGACGTTATAATTTTTTTATAAGGTTTAGATGAATAGATAAAATATTTACAAATGCGAAATACATAATACTGCTAAAATTCATTGCCGATTCAGAAAGTTTCCTTTTTTATAATTACTTTGATTTTACACAAATTAGAGTGATGAACAGACGCATCGCTCAGGACGAAGCATTTCTTACATAGATAATGAATTGACGCCTCCAGCAAGTTGATTTTGGTAACGCTTGGGATCAACTAAAGCAGCCAGAAGTGTCTTCTGTTGATCCAACTGACTATTAATCTTTGAAATCCACTGCTCTTTTTCTTCTCTTGTATTAGCTTGTGCTAAGAAAGCATTCGGCTGCGCCGGATCATTGCTTTTCAGAATAAACCGCAGCGGTTCATCTGGGATATCTGCATCAAGTACCATCTAAAAGTACAGTGAAAGGTACTAAACTTATTCACGCCATAAAAATACATAATGATTTGTCTAGTCATTTTTAAATTAAAACACAAAACTTGCTAAAAATCAGTCAAACACTAAAAGCATTTAAATTATGCTAAAATGCATCCGACAGTGTATCAATTTCTCTTTTAATTTTTAGTACTAACAGATTTTCAATAATAAACACATTTAAAAAATAAGGTCATAAATAGAATTTAAAGATGTACTTTCACATCTAAGAAAACATAAAAGCTTTACAAATAATAGAACTGTTCAATTTCAAGAACATATTTTGAACAGTTTATTATTGTTAACTGACCTTATTTACCATAATCTGACTTCTAAATATGTAAGTAGCATTTCCAAATTCTTTCTTTGGTAAAATACAATCAGCAATGATTGCAGACTGCTCAAATAAAAATATTCGCCTATCTTTTCCCTTGAAAGGCTGCGAAGGAGAATTGTCTGAAATGGCTACCGTTCCCTGAAAAACATAGTTTTCTATTCTTTACGGGTAAACAAAAACATTGAAAATCACGATGGAAAAGTTGGTTTTCCAAAAATTACAATGAATGTGAAAATGTTCAGACAGCTAAATAAATAACTTTCTTCTGTTCAAATCAACAGACGTTATTTTCGTTACTTTGTCGTTACTACAAATAATTAATGTTAAGAAAATTTACTAACAAAATAGAAATATTTAAAAAGCAGATGAAACCTGATAAATCAATTTTCCTTGAGCATTTAAGTTGCCATCAAAATTTTGTAAACGACCAACTTGCATCATGTCGTCACATGCTTTTGGTACCACATGCATTACCTTAAAAACGACTTTCACACTTACAACATAAAAGTAAATAATATTAGTAAATTAACTGCTTCAGCGATGCCTAATTAATTTTATCCCATCACCCAATGCTGAAAAAGAAAATGACTTTGAGATATACTGCATATTGATTATGTTAAAAATTTTCTTTCAATGAAAATTATAAATAACCTCCAGAGCTTTTTGTAAAGCATCCGTATTGTCACCTGCTCGTTCCGTATATTTTAGGATATCTTTCAACAATAATTGATACTTCATAATGCGCTGCACAGGTTTAATTAGCAAATCACATAGTGCTATTTTATGACCCAGTTTTTGCTTGGTATCCGCAAAAAACTGCAAGTTTTTAGTATTTATTCAGTACCACTGGAAAACTCTATCATCCTATTTTTTAATATACCTACAAAAGTCTCCCATTTTATTAATATCATCTAAAATATGTCGATGAACATATCAAAGAGAAAAGAAGAAAGAATTCACGCACTGTAACGAACAAGTCTTACCAAGACACTTGCATAACAAACTGACTCAAAAATTTAACTGTGTGATTAAATGCAAAGGAATAAAGCGCTTTATCAGAAATATGGTCAACTGTTTGTCTATTCAATAAATGCGCTTGTGCATAATTTTACAAGTTTTTTATAAACCATCAAAAAAAATATACTAAATGAAATAGGCAAATGTAAATGGTATTTTCGCAAAACCAATTCCATTCCCTCACTTTCAAAGTAGTTAGGAAACGATTTAAAGCACTTGCATACGAGACACTTTATTATTGAAAAAAAGCAACCTCCTCAAAATCGTCTTGTGCCATCAAAAAGTCTGATTTTGGTTTGTTCTGACAATATTTCACATAATACGTGTGTAACCTTCGTTCCTACAATTTATTTTCAAAACAAAACTGATTATCAATAATTAATATTATATACAGAAACAAATCCACCAACAACTACCAAAAATTTCTTCAATGTCCAATCAAAATGTTTGCATCGTATTAGCATGCAGAGATCAACACACGCTACTCGATAAATTTAATAGAAAGTCCATTTTAAATCAAGCAAAAATTATTAATTATGGCCAAGTATAACGAATATGCAAATAAGAATCACGCTAAATAAAGCCTTTTAATGCTCTAAACATAAATTGTTTCCTTTCAGTAAAGCTACAATAGATTGTGTAACAAATAAAATTAAGATTTCTGCTTCTTACATACTTCACATTGCTAACATAATGCATAATAATTGAGGAAAACAAAAAAACCTACATATTTTACAAAAGTGTTACCCGCTGCTTCGTAATCCGCAAGGCACTTTTCAATTTCCTTCAGAAATAGTCTAAAACAAATTAGTTGTAAATAAATGGAATAGGAAATAAATAAGGTCTTACGATAACTTGTGCTTGTATTAGCAAGATGAATTTAACTCCAAATTATTATTACAAATCCTATTTAAGACTATAGAATAAAAGAAAAAAATGATCAAGTACGTTTTGTGAAAGTCAAGAATCTGGACGATGTTTGCAAAAATGATTTTATCTTTGCCAACTAAATCCTCAGGCAATTCCATCGTTTGTAAATTTGCCATATATCCTTCTACGACAGAACTCAAATCCTTCACGTAATCTCGCTCAGTATCAACCAATTCCATTAATACATATCAAAAATAAGCAATATCGTTAAATTTAAATACACAAATTACATATAATAAGTAATTACTTAACGTTAAAGAAAATAGAGACACATAGTAAAAGTATGAAAACATCATGGAATCAATTATGCACTACTAAAGACTACAAAAATAGTACAGTTCTAAAAATAAATAAAATGTGAGTTCATACTTCCAACAGAAGTTATATATACAGCAGAAATGATAAGCAAGCACAAGTAAAAATCATGTGAGTTTTATGAGTAAATTAAAATAATTATGAGTTCGTTTCTATCATTACTAGTAATTTCATTATAACTAATTATTACTGAAAATAACCAAAACATACTGTCGCTTTTGCCTAGCAATATCTTGAGGAGTTTTCTGTTCCTTCTCAGAAGCACAACTTTGATCTTCTACAGTATCGGTACTAACACCTGATGGATTACTTGCAAGCTGCTCCTCCATCTGCAAACAGAAAAAGAGATCGAAAACTATTTGATTAAGAAATGTGCAATATGTATACAGATGACAAAAAAATTTCAAACATAAAAAAAAGAAATAAATATTAACACGCAAACAAAGTTATGAGACAAGCTAAAAAATCTATGCTGTTTCATTCAAAATGATTCTAATTCATATTGTTTCAAAGCAACATTTTGAAATATATTACTGAGATGAGAAATAATTAAGGACAGAAAAACCTGGCTGAAAATGCTAGATAAAATGAAAAGGCCAAAGCAAAGTGAAACAAAATAAGACAAGCTCTAAGAAAACTTTAATGGGAAACTTTAAAATCTGAAAAAGATTGCGAGAAAAAATGAAACAGCAGCTTCATAATATCAAAAAACTTATTCAAAGGTACTCTATACTCTTTTGAAAAGTTTCGTAAATAAATGAGTGACAAGCACACATAAAAACTTTCTGAATTCTAAGCATAATGAATACGAGAAAGAGTTCAAAAAAGGATTCGTGAAAACAAAGCCTTCTAATTTTATTCACACATAATACATTATTTTGCACTTTCAGCATTAAGTAGTGAAAGAAAAGACTGACTGAAAATGGAGAAAGTTTAAGAAAATATCAATAAGGAACAAAATTCTTGGGGATAATGAGGATCAGGTGGCAACAAATTTTCTCAAAGTGATAGTAATTTGCAACTCAACTACTCCTTCTTATGATGTTAGTAAATTTTCCATGCATCAAACTGTTTCTTATTTCTCTTCTCTATTATAAATATATAATTCAGGTAATAAATGAATGTAAACAAAAAACAAGCTTATAGATAGATTCAGGCAAAAAGTGCTAAAACAGTAAGTAATGAAAATTTTCAATTACTTAAACACTGAATGCTCAAAATGCATGCTTATAAAACTAAAAAGCATTAAATTAAGTAAACTGATTACGCAATTTGCAATGATACTTTTTACTTTACTTCTATAACACATGTATACATTTAATAATTAAATATTTGCCCATCTATAAATTTCAGAGAGCTACAATTTTTAATCTTTGTTATTACTTGATAAGTACAAAACTTGTCTTAATGAAAATTTTTTTAAAATATTATAGCATACTGTGAATTTTATTTATTACTATTTTTAGACATTCATTTCGTACTTTTGCTCTTCTTATTAGAAGAGTAACTAATAACAGGACAAAATGGATTTGCAATAAAAGTTGTAATATTTCTTAGTTAAATATGAAAGAGAAAGTAAGTAATCGAATGAATTTTCCACGCTTCCAACTTATTTAAAAAATAGTGCACGCTTTCAACTTACTTACAAATAAATAAATAAATAAATCTATACTAATCAAGCAACTCAAATTCAGTAGTAGTGATATGAGTAACATTTGGATGATATGATTGTATATCACAAGCATATTGAACAACTGCAATTCACTCTCCTCCTCTCCCATTTCCATCCATCCATTCATGCAATAAATTCAATGGATTAACAAAAACAATAACACCAGCAGCTATCAGCTAGCAGGCTTCACTGTTAAAATATGCCTTATCTTGCTGTGCTATGTAATGTATCAATATGCCTATTGCTGCAAATGAAAATGAACCTTGCTAAGAATAAAGGAGAATGCTTGCATAAATTGTTAATTCCAAATCCATCAACTCATCCTTTCACTCCTTGCCTGGCCAATACCAAACAGAAAATTATTCTATCATGTCATTCAGACATCACCTACATGTTTCTTGAGACACTTTCCGGGTACTACTCGCCTGTTCGCGCTCTTGGGATTTCTTCCACATCATTGCTTACTCAACTTACTCGCTTTCCTTCCTCTTTCTTCATTTATTCACTTACTTTGCTCATCAACCCAAAATGGTGTTACTTTCAATTACATACCGCTAAAGTGCCCCACTCACATTTTGCTCATCCCACTCTGTTACATTTGCAAAACCACATCTATCTATCTACCCATGCATTCATTTAACCCTGCATTCATTCATTCATTCATTCATTCATTCATCTATCTCAATAATAATAACAAAATCACTCAATTTTGGCTTTCAAGCACATTCATCTATGCACAACTTTCACCACTGTTACACTGCAGCTTGCATCAAAGTAGTCCTCTCAATTTTGGCATTGGCACTTGCTTAGTTATGCTTTTCTTCTAAAAATTAGAATGCATAAATTGCATGTCACTGTAACTCGAATATTCTCAACATAAAACTCAATTTTTCACGCGCAAACTGATTCATTCTTATTTCTCTAACTTCCAACACCATAGAAAATGGCTTAAACTTCTCACCTTATTGTCGAAAACAGTAACTGCAATTGTAAATGCAATTTCTTGCACATATGTTGTAGCAGTCTATACTTTTCAATCAAACGCCATAAAGGCGTGAATTTTACTTTCTCATACAGATATTTGAAGTGCAAGAACTGCAACAAATATGTAATGGCGTTTGTGCTATCTAAGGATGAAATCAAAAGCAATCTAAACTGAACAAACATATGCGCTTTGAGACTTTTAGAAAAATCTCACATTATATTTGTTGAAAGTGATGAAGAAGATCTGTTCCGGAAATTTGATGATCATAGAAAAAGAAAGACAAAATGTAATTTGTGCATTACGTTATGTATGAAAGGAAAGTTTGGGAGTTTAATTAAAGATTAAAACTATTCTCTCTACCGCTTCTAACTTGTGACGAAAACAATGAAGAACTGATTATGATCTAAATCTAGCAGAACAAACAAGATAAAATTCAAAAATTTAACCTTGAAATACTTTAAAATTAGATTAAATACGGAAACCAATCTGAAACTAATCCTTCAACGATAGATCCAATTTTTTAATTAGTATGCTTTAGAAATGTCCTTAATAAATATTCTGTTATTAGTAATGCGTGCAAAAAAACAGAGTTGGTTCTTTGTATGGACATAAAAGCGGAGTAAATAAAATGAATGCACTGAAGTGAATAGAAAATTGAATTTGAACTGAAATGCCAGAGTTAGTTTGAAGAATGCTTGAAAAAGCTAAAAAAAACAATAAAATTACTGATGTATTTCTGGATGCAGCGGCATCTGCTACAGCGCTGCTTAGTTCACTCATTGGTGGTGGAAGTTCAAATTCGCCTTGATCAGAAAATGATGCACTAGGATCGATAGCCGGATCAATAAGAGCTGGATTTACGGAAAGTAATCCACCAGTTGACGGTACTTCAACTCCAGTTGTAATGAGTGCTTGATCCTCACAAGAAGACAACACACTACGGGTTGCTGTTGACGATGGGGGTGGTGGCACTGTTTGAATGACTGTTTGATCTGACTCAGTAGAATCCTACAAAAATTTTGGATTGCTTTCATTTGTAATAAATTTCATAATAATTAAATCAATTATTAATAAGTATCGAAGTTTAAAACATTCTTAAATTAATATTTAATACAGTATTGTTCAGATATTATTAGATTAATATTCCCCAGATTTTCATCAACAATATTCTGCAAAATCCAGTAGATGATTAAGGATATTAACTGATTCTTATATATAACAAAATGCGATAGGAAATTTTGAGAAAAACTTAAAAGTATGGAATAAAAAAGTTAACAAGAAATGCTTAGACAATGTAATAAAAACACTAGATACAAATAAATTGCTATGCTAATTTCTATTTTATAACTATAAAACAAACTTAAACAAGACAAAAAATAGGTGAACAAATTTGAAGACAAGAATAATAGGAAATGATGAATATTAGCAGTCAATCAAGTGCAGAATGATATACAAAAACTGATAATTTTATTGTCAAATCAAGTAAAAAATTCGATTTAAATAGCTAGTAATAACAGATGACAGTGAATCAGCAAACTTGAAGTAAGAAATGACTATAAGAAGAAGCGAAAAAAATAAAAGAAAAATTGAATCAAAGAACAGCAAAATCACAACATCAATTCAGGAAAAATTTACGCGAATAGCATGCATCGATTATTGGTCTGATGGAGATTGCTAGTTAGGCCTAACTACAGGACAGCTAGGCCCTGCAAGCTGTATAACTGCACGTGTAGACTTAGCAGGAGAGGTGAAAGATTGTCTTAAATAAGCGAAAACCATCGAAAAGCTAGCAAATTGTAATAGAAAAACTTGGAAGCCTTTAAAAAATGCAACTTAGTTCTTCTTCAGTTACTTGACCTGCTCCACTTCATTTTATTTATTCATTCATTTATTCCCTCATCCACTCAGTCCATCACTTACTTACACACCCATCCAATTCCTAACTTCTCTTATCCATGTTATCAATCACATCTTTTTGCTGTCATTTAATTTCAAATTTTTTTAAAAATCACACAAAAAGTAATAAGCTAAGATTAAATTCTGATGCACCTTGAAGTCCGTCATAAATGAGAACATATGATATTGAAGTTTTCGCAACATTTTTTGTCAAATGAATCTTCTTGCATGTTCTTTAGCCAGAGAAATGAAATCTATACTCCCATCTCTAGCTTTTTAAATAAATAGAAAAGGAAAAGTAATAGAAACTAACTGATTTTCAATTAATCCAGTGCATGCAATTTCCCATCTTACAAGCATACATCTTCATAAGAAAAAACAAGGCACATATCGAACCAAAAACTTCATAACTGCCTGCTGCTACTTGACCAGCTGGTTTTAATCAAAAAAGTCAATCAATGCCATTTTTTGTCGTATTTGATAAGAAAAAATTGAGATGTGGAAAGAAGAAAACTGCCGGAAGCAAAATGCAAAATATGGAAATTTCATGACAAACAGATAAGTAAGTATTCAGTAGTTAGTTAGAATGAACTTTTCAGACACCTAAATTCACTACCACTTCTCAACTAAAACCATTTCAAGCCCTTTAGTTACTTACTTCAATCCAGCAACAAAAAAATTTTTAAAACAGATCATCCTCTTCGAAATAACTTACTTGCATCTAGATACTGTATTTGTGTAAGGATTAATAGTGCTTCAAAACTGCTAGCTTATCTACATACATTACTGTTCTTAATAATAATAATAATACAAGGCTAAACAATACCAGAAAAACAACTCAAAAATACTCGTCCCGAGAGATATCTTTTTGCGAACGAACCAATAAATAAATAAATAAATACGCAAAACTAAAGCTCCCTCCTAATGCAATCTGACCATTTGCAGTCTAATATATCAAGTCATAATTATTATCAACTAACAAAGTAATCACTTAACTCAATTTTGTTCCCTCAATAATACAGCAAAAAAGGTAACACATGAAGACTAGGCCGGACAAGACCTTTCCCATGTGCGTCATCTTAACATCAAGAAACAGTTGTGATACTAAAAATGAGTTACTCGTGCTACATTTATATCATATGAAAAGCAACAAGATAAATTTTTTCATTCCACAACCAAAACATTCTTTCTTGTCTTTGATGGAAAATTGATTGAAATGCCATTGTTTTTGATTACTGAACAACTACTGGCACTTAAAACTTTCCGGACTTAGTAAAGGTCAATTAACAGTATTGATGATAATTATGTGTGGCATGGTGATTGCATAAATGATTTAAAACAGAAATCGAATTATCACAAGGTATACTCAGTGATTTGCTTACTTTTTAACAGTTGAGTTATCAATACACAAACACTACACTGAATATTCACTTAAATTGAATTTCACACTTTCTCATCAAATCTGTTCATAACTAAATGCTGATTGAATTTTATCTTAGTTTTCTGATGTAAATACAAATGTAGGTAAAGTGTACGAAACTAAGTCATGATTTAAAATAAAATTTTTTTGATAAACGTGAACATGTATATCAATGTAACGCATTCAATACATCCCAACTGACAACTAAGCTATGATTAGCTAACTCACCAATAATAGCTAAAAGATTCCACTAAGAGATTCCACACCACATAACTGCTATTCAGATAATTAAGGGAATTTGGAAAGTTTTCATAATTAAGTACATAGATAAAAGGAGAGTAGAGAGCACGGAAGTAGATGAGATATGAAAGATGAGAAAAGAAGCAACAAAGAAAATTGGAAATTTGAAAAATCAAAAAAATGAATGCATGGGATGCACAGATGATGGATGGATTATCATCTGCTTCAACCCGTCCAATCATCCATGCGCTACTCATGGAGACATTCAATGAAGCTGCCTCCAGTCTGTTAGAAATGGAACAAAAATATCAAATCTTTCACTTTCGCTACGAAATTTGATTCAGATTAATGACATTTCATTACAACACAAGACAGTGGCAATTTAGTGCAAAACAGGGCACTCTAAGCTAAGCTAATAATGCGCAGTCAAGACAAACATAAGCCAATCATATAACAAATGGGTTTATACAGCAGACATGGCATCTAACTGTTCTTATGTTAGTACAGCTACAGCTACAGCTACTGATAACCACTTCTTCTTACAAATGATTAAATGTAATAAAAATTAGTGCACACATTTTATACATTAAAGATATAAATACCTGCGACGGAATCCACTTCGAATCAAGTTAATATACATAAATGCGACTTCAGTAATAAACTTCATGAACAAATGAGCGTGTAGCTAAGAACCGTGCTTAAAAAATGTTATATACATTAAAAAATGGAGGTTAGTTTTCGCTTTCGCTTTATTGGTTCCGCGCTGAATCGCATTCCGGCACTCTGTCTGCACTTGTCCTGCGTTCATATTTGTTGTACTCATCTTTTTCGCTTCATCATTGTGGAATCCATATCGATTGCCGAAAAAGTAATTAAACCGATTATATATATAAATATAACAGGTTTAATTACCCAACTTTCTGTTTCTATTCTTTTCTCTGCTCTACTTCTGTCTGTTACGGCGATGTCATGACGCGACGATGAAAGTCAATGGTTGAAATACCAGTGCAAGCAGCTGCGACAACAAACGTATTGGTATCGATAGAGAAATAGTAGCAATACAAGAGAACATTCCAACATTCAAGTAGATCAGTTATCTAATGGTTGATAACGAGTTTCTGAAGGACTGTCCACATCACATACGACTTCCAAGAAGCGAAAAGAAGCAAGAGACTAATACGAAGATGAAACGAGGGAAAAAGTAAAGAATAATAATACGCATGACACGAATAAAGCGGAAGAAAAGCCTGTTGCAAAACGAGATCGAAACCGAAAAGAAGGATGCTGTGTTTTGATTACGATGATTGATTATATATTTGTAATTCTCCAAACTCCTGACAACATATCTACATTACTCCACATTTTGGAACTAAAGTTAATCTAATTCGTTTGTATAGTAAAAAACACTTATTATTCAAAATGAATAAGAACTACGTGTTTAGTTACCAGACGGAAAATATTCCCAATAAATGTGCTTCAAGCATACAAGCAAAGTCAACTGCAACAGATTTAAACAGCTTTGTACGTCAAGAAGAAGAAATAAAATATTATTTAGTATTTACCAGAGAACAAGTAAGTTTCAAGTAATGATAAAATGTATCAGTTACCAACAGATCAGAATATATGGAAAATAAGAATTATGCAAATTTAATAAAGATGAGTTTACAAAATTGTAAAATCACCATTTCTCATACTCAAAGCAAGTTTATAGAAGTACTATTTCATTAGTATTAATGATATAATTATCTAAGAGGCAGATCAAAATATATTACGAACATTGATAAACAATACAAAATAGCATCAGTGAAAGTTTTCCAATTTCAAAAATCTAATCTCAAATCATAAAATAAATAAATATTTACCTTAGGTGATAAACGATTCAGTTGGGAATCGACAAGGGAAGGTGGTGAAACTGGTTGAAGTTGATCTGTTCCACTGTGCCGAAGCTGCTGACCACTAATACTTTTACGTGAAGACAATGACATTGACTGTGGACGTGAGTAACTACCACTATGTGAACCTTGCTGCTGCTGACCATTATTGAAAAAACGTCTTAAAAATCGTACCATAATTTTACATCTCTGTTTACACAAAATGATTAGAATGAAAATAACCTGAACTCTGGTAAAAAGAATCCGAAAGGCTGAATGAACCCTAGCATATCTGATTTTCTGATTTAAGGAAACAAACACTCTCTTACCTATATCTAAAATATTAAACTGCTTACTGTCTATGAATTTCATATTTGTTTAACTTAAAAAAATTGAAAGTTTCAATTCTCAACAAAATAGAATGACCCGTACCGTAAGCTCTTCCTTTTAACAATATTTTGCGTAGAAGACGACGAGTTAACTGGAAATGAGGGATCCAGAAAAGGACGATCTGTTGAACAAGATGCCGAGGAGCCATCTGAAAAACAAAGTTCATCACATCATTTCCATTTTTACTAATACAGCATGAAAAATGTAAATAAAGTTAACTTTTTTGGAAAAATTGAGGATTTTATATCTTGGAAACACCAAAAAAGAGAAGAAAAAACGGCGATGAGTGCCTCAAGAGTAATTCAGCACATCTAGTATATTTAGACTAAGCTCCTTTAAGATTATTTCAAAGGTCCCAGTGGAAATTTTCCAAGGTAAAAAATTATTTGTAGCAATTGGACTTTTTAAGTCTAGTATGCTATCTAAATATTTCCAAAACTTCAATTAAAAATCGCAAATTTCAGTTACGTTTTTATGCGAATATTATCTATTGCTTTTATGAAAAATAGAACCAGTTTCATGTTTAATATCATATTTTTACAAACAAATCATTAATTAAAATTACTGCTCGTTTTGTCACAAGATTCGATTAAATATAAATAATGTAAACAGAAATTATTTCAAAAAATCAAATGATTATATATCACAAAAAAACTGTTAAGACATCGGAAAATTGTTAAGGTAGTAATCGAATAAAAATTGAACCTGACATTGCATGGATTTTTGTAGCACAATGATGCCTCTAATTTCTGATGGCAGTGACTACTACATCATATTTCATTTGTACTTACTGCTAAATAAAAAAAATACAATTCTCTTATACTAATTACCAAGACAAATTTTATACCAGCATTACAAAACTTAGAAATGTTGGTAAAGACAAGAAGAGGATGACTTGATAGTATCCTAGTATAAAGGGAAAGATGACGACGCACCGCTGCGCAATTCTTGTAAAATTGTTTGCTCAGCTGCAGGAAGCAAAACTTCTACTGATCCAGTGCTACCTCGTTGAGTATCAAGACCAATCCGTGATGTAGCAGACGCAAACGAAAACCAACGACGGCGCAATGCTGATGACCAACGTTGAAGACGACTAGGATATGATCTTTTGCTATCGCTACTTTCCTCATTGGTAGCTACCGTATATGACCGTCTCATCATATTCTTTCTGCCTGCCGCTATCACTGACCTATTTTACAAAAACAAACTCCGAAGTACTATCCTTACAGAAAATAATACAAACTATAATTGCGAAGTTTACAAATATGCGTACTTAAGCAGTTTTTTACTTCATTGAAACCTTATAGAAAACTAAATCTGAACAGCAATTGTGAAAAAACATATAGTAGTAATGAATTTATTACTTCAATAAAGTTCTCATTCTCCAAAAAAATTCCAAAAACTTACTTGTTCCTATTGATTCAACCAGATAAAAATTGGAAACTTTTTTACTACAGTTATTAACTCTTTTATTTATTTCAAAACCATACTTCTTTCCTGAGGAAACAACAGTAAATACAGCAAAAATTTTTAAATTATTAAAAATCAAATATCAAAAGACCTTCTGATATTACAGAGAGCTTAAAAGTGTAATTCATAAAGTTTCTTAAACATTTGATGAAGTAAAAAACTGCAATAAAGACAACACTGTGGCAGGCAAATATGTTTAATCATTTTTGCAGTAAAAAATGAATTATGTTCTTTATATATTCAAAAGAAAGTGAAAAGTGATAAGGCATAATTTAACGATTATACTTTATCACTCTCTTGCATCATATATATATATATATATATAAGTTAATTAGGCTACTGATTTGCTTATCTAATTAAATCACGATTTAATTAAATCTTGATAAATAAATGATATAATGCAGGTAGTAATGAACTACTGGCACAATCTTACTACCAACCTACTATTCGATGAAATTTTACAATGAATATGCTAAATAGATCAATACAAATACAGTTTGCTGTTAAAAACCTTCTGAACTTAATACAACCCTATCTACAAACTTTTATTCAAAAACTTTTGAAATTACTTAACTGTCATTTACTACGGAAATAATAACCATCCTCTTTCCATCTTTTTTAATTTTAACTAAGCTACCAGCAAAGGCTGTACAATGAAAATGCTTTTTTTTAAAAATTGAATTAAAGTGAATTTGAAATTTGAAAAACAAAGTGAAAGTAAAAGAAAAGAATACTTCAATCAGCCATATGAATCGCTGAAAACTTAAAAGAAATAGAAATCTATGTGAGCAGGCAGATGAACACAAAATTAAATAAAAAGAAAACAACTACTTTTTAAGCTAAACAAAATAAAACTAAAAAATACTTTTAGGAGCTTGTTGCCTTTTAACTAATCTAGCACTAGATAAATATTTTCTGAATTTATCCCCTATTTCATTATTTCAGTTTCAAGACTATTCTTGTTTTATCAGTGCAAGCATCAAGTTTTTCTGCTACCAACTTAATTTGATCACTACGATATATATGTATTTATTGTTTCTGCAATAAAAAATGAAATTAGTTTTTTAAATATCGAAAACTTTCACTTTTACCTCATGTTATTTGAGGAGTCTAATCTTCCATACAGCAAAAATGTTAAAGCTTTGTGAATAATACAATCTGGTATAACTAACTTATTGGCTTTGCAAAACTAGTAGTACTTCAGCCAGACAAAATATAACTTAACGACTATATTAGTCATGCGTATATATGAGTTTGAAATATATATTAAAGCTATCTTCGCATCATTTGATTCCAAATGCACTCTCATGTATCTTTTTACTTTTGTATCCAATATCTATCATATATACGCATGACTAATATGGTAATTTCCAATGCTAATGAAAAATTTACAGAAATGATAAATAACTGACCAGTTTCAATTTTATAGAGTCATATAATTATTTCATACTCAGAAGAGATAACTCCTTCCATCTGGCTTTTTTCAAAAACTACATGCTAAGATTTTCTAACTAATAAATATGCCATACGAAAAAGAAAAAAATGACTATTTGAAAAGTAAGAGAAAGTGAAGTCAAAGAAGAAATAATAATTCACTTTCTTATGAAGATGAAAGATTTACTGATTGAATTACTTACATTTAAAAAGCAGTGTTCTTTTTCTTAAAATATAGTCATTCTGTAACTATTTTATTCATACTTACAAATGCTCTCGTTAGGATTGACAACTACTATAAATTGAAATAACATGAGCAGTAAAGTTGTGACAGTAATAAAAAAACAATTGTAACCATTGCAATAAAAAAGCAAGTACGTCAAGTCATACAATCTAATAATCTCCTGCACAAATTTTTGCTACTATAGTATTTGGGTGCTCTACATGTTTGCTTCAGTTTTAAAAAGTGAAACTTTGAATGAACATCAAATATGAACAATTAATTATTAACAATACTATAAAAAAACTAGGAAAAAGAGAATCTTTCAACTGAAAAATTTTAGGCACACTCAATAAAAAAATTTAATTGATATAAATATAAGCAATTTTTTTTTCGTGCAAACAAACAGGAAGGAAAAAAATATAAACATAGAGAAGAAACAGAATCAAATATTTGAAATTATCTTCTATTGGATAAATAGATGCAAATATCCGGTAAAGAGTTTTCTTATTTATCTGTTTCTTGCTGTTTGCAAAGTGTACAAATTTCAAATGAAAATGAAAAAAAAGACTGCAGGGAATTTGCTTACAGCTCAGTTCGATACATTTTGGATTAGAAAAAACAAATTGATAAATATATAACAACCTAGTTTAAATTAAGAAAAAAGGAAACAAGTACGGATTTTTGCTTTTTTATCATTCATTATTTATTTTTTGCGAAACGCTCACAAATTTTACGCGTTTTATGCAGTAAGTAGAAATAAATGAGATAAAATGATTATGAAAAATAATTTAATTGCATACGAAAAATACTTAAAACTTTCGAAAATATCCACAACAGGCACTTACATTTTTTTCTCAAATAATTTTTCTCAATTTCAATAACGTGACAAAATTTTTTAAACTGAGCTGAATAATTTTAGATGCATGAAATGCTTGATTCTATTATTATTATATTAACTAGTTGACTAGTTTTTTTATCTTCTACAGTGCAAATAAAAATAGAGGACAAAAAAATGTATACCCGTATCCAGTGAGCTCAATAATGTACAGACAAGAAAATACTTAAGCATTCCATATTCATATAAGACTATAATACAGAATGATAAGTGATAATTATGCTCGTGAACTTTGAAAAAGCTTAAAAAATAGAAAATAAATCTCACAATAGAGCTAACGTATCGGAAAGCAAGATAAAAATGTAATCTTTCAGTTTTTTATAATCAAGAAATGGTTCAGATTTGAAAAATTTGTCAATCTTCAATTATAAAGACAATTTTTCTTTACATGCATTAAAAGTTACAAGTACACTCAAAAGAACAAAATTACCAGTACCCAAATAGATAAACTTTACAAGCATGCTGATGTGTAACAGGTACTAGAAATAAGAACTGAGAACAATAACAATAATTTTGCGAGAATATGTGCTACCGCTAGCTGAAATTTGAATATAATAAAAGTTTTAATTAATGCACAAGCAACGAACCAGCATATTAACAATATATATATATATATATATATATATATATATA